TTATAAACTGGTACAGCTTCTACCAAAAACTGTAATTTATACCCATATTGGGTCCAGTGAATATGCAGCATGGATGTTTATAATGATCACACGGACCTTCTGCATCCTGTATACTTGCAGGACACTGTGCATGAAGTGTGTCTTAACGTTCATCCATTCCACCACTCACTCTTTAGTGATAAGTCCTCTTGGTCCGGTGGGCGTGGCCAATTTTGGGTCTAAACCGTGGGTGTCCAGAATGTGTCTCGCTGCCGGACTCAGACGTAACCTGGACGAGGCAGAGAGAATGCGGCACAGTTTTATACATCTGCTTTAAAGACCCAACTCTAGTCCTGATAAAAATGTGTGAAATTTGACAATCATTTCTGAGAAAGAACAACACATGATCAATAAATGTACTTACAAACATGCCAATAAAATGACTGCTACAGCAACAGCTTTTTAATAGCCATTTATAAATAACACTGAGCCTGCACTCAAGAAAGACGGACCTATTGATTAGCTCAGATACAATCTTATTCTCAGTTTGTCTTGACATAAGCACAGTGAATACAGTTGGTATACTTTACTCTTCAAACTACACGAGTAGTGATAGTGGTACAGAACTCATGTGGTTTAAGTCATCTCAGTGGTACAGACAAGGCAAAGCTGTGCAATGGCAGCTTTTACTTATATCAATCAGTAATATGGAATGCTTTAATACAGCCCATCCCTCTACCTGTCTCCTAATAATCATGCTTAATGCACAACACACCCACTTTTCTTCTTTCATCACTGTCAAGCTCATGTTGCCAAGGTGCAAAGCTGAATACGTGGACAGCTTAAAATGTTTGGATACCAAACAGAGCCTGTTTGTTGGGCAGCAGCAACTTTGCTTTTGTTTAGTATTTATTGGGTAAACAGTGGTAAGCAGCATCTCACACATTTTTTTTTAAATGTGAACAGAGAAACATCCTCTTACTCAGCATGTCAGATGGCGGTAGACGCTGCAGAGTCTGAAACCAGCAGGGCTCTATTCTGCTCTAAAAGAGACGATCTCTTCATTTTATTCCTTTTCTATCTTTGCTGAATCTTGTTACTAGGCTACAAATGTTCCCAAAAAGCATAAACTTGATGCCATCTCTGCAGCAGTCACTAATATCAGCTCACCTAAAAATGAGATGCTTAAACAGCATTTATGAGTTTGAGCAACAGGCAACCAAAAACAGGCTAATTTAGAGCGAAGTTATCTGTTTCTGGGCATGCAAATCAAAATTCTGAATAAATCGATGTCCACACCCACTGAGTGTACAGATCTTTATCCACAAGTTCTTCTAGTGAAACCGCTCTGAACCCATTGACCTATACATGCGACAGTTACGATCTGAGGAAGTAAAAGGGAAAAAAAAAAAAGTGACACTCACGGTCCTGACGTGGCTGGTTTTGGCGGGGAGGGAGCAGCGGCGGCCGCAACTGGGGGAGCGGCCGCTTGTGTAGCAGGTGGAGCCGCAGCATCTGGAGGGGGGATCTCGACCTGCTTCCAGTCCTGCCCTTCCTCCACCATGAGGGCAATGAGAGTGCCAAGGCGCACGTTGCGACTGCCCTCCTCCATCTGTGAAGAGGGCGAGAGAGGCACTTGTACAGTGAGGGTGGCGCGTTAGCAAAACTAGTTCAATCGCTTCATAATTGCAGCTGAGATTGCTAGAATGAAGGTGAAGGACTCTTACGGTATCATTTCAAAGGATTAACCAAAAAAAAAAATAAAAGAGCTGAAGAGAATGCACTACTGAAGTTATTCAATCAACCAGTGGTCATTTAACAGATAAATCATTTGATAGCCGTTATCAGAGGAACCTCTTGAAAAATGACACCGCCTTCTCATTGACAGCATCGTTTCATTTGGTGCCAGAACAGGTTCTTGCAGCGACTGGTTGTGTTTTTATGCCGTCAACCATCGATTCACTATCTTGTTAGGGAGAAAGCCAAATCCACTACAAGCCTTTTTGCTGCTCTCCCCAAGCTGTGCGAAGTGTTGTTCCTTACATATTGATCAGCGTAAATGAAAGGCCCGGGCGCAACACAGAGGGCTGGACTGCTGCACTTCATCACTTTTCAAAAGGTATCCCCTCAGTGAGCTGTCTCCTAAAGGCTTAGCTCGATAGGACTAGGCGGAGAAGTAGATGGGGAAGGAGGAGGAGGAGGAGAAGCAGCCGACTGTGCTATTGCATTCAACTATCCGGCACCATCACTTATCAGCCAGGAGATAATAACCTGCAAATCTAAACAACCAGAAAATACTCGATCGAAAGAGCACAAAAAAAAAACATTAAACCAAAACTTCTCAATTCAATAATGCAATTTTAAAAGAACAATTGTCGACCGAAAGTTGCGAAAATACTCCACCCCACCCCCTCCCTGCTAGCGAGCTCGCAAAATCAAAAGCAGCACTCCAATAATCACATCCACCAAGCTGGAAAGAACAGCAGAACAGGAACACCTGCGCTCACTGGTAGAAAGAACTGCCCTTCCACGCTTGTTTCTGTGCTACTTTAGTTCAGCGCGGACCGAAGGTTATGGAAATAAACACACAAAGATAAACCTTCAATCAATTTGTACCGAGCAGCTCTGCCATGTAAGACGCTGTTGTGTAATCCTGCCGTTTTACATTTACCCAGTCAATTTAATAAATAGTGAAATAACCGTCTCAGACAGACATTTGAGGCTTAGTGGAATTTGTAAATCCAGCATACAGCTTGTGTAAACAAACAAGACGATGACCTAAAGGAACAATACACAGTCCAAAACAACGCCGATGGTAAGATATGTTAATGACAAAACTTTTAGCTAACGCATAAACCCAAGTCAGTTGTATCCTTTTTTTAGTTTAACCTTGATTTACCTTTTACCTTCTCCTCGAAGGATAACTCCTGTGTAGTGTCTCTACAGCACCTCTCTTCGACAGTAGGAGGTGATGGATGAGAGTAAGTTTAAAGGCCTCTCAGGGAAATCCTGAGATCTGTAAATTTCCGCAGAGATCCCTCTTGTCAGTCTCAAAAGGATTTTTTTTCCACGGCAGAGAACAGAGAGACACGTTTCCTATAATAACTGTGTTACTGGTACACAACTAATGTTGGGAAATGCGGTTTGTTGTTTGACAGCCATCGACATTTTAGTTTGTGAGAGCAAAACATGCTGTGGAAGAGAGAAAACAGGCAACAGCGAGGATGTGAACACGTGTCGTCATTTAACAGCCACACAAAAGAGCAAACAGCCAGAGAATGGACAGAAAATAATCAGAAAGGATTGGATCATAATTATTATGCCTTTTTAATTAGCCCAATGCATTAAAAAAAAAAAAAACATCGCACAGTACAGACTCACAAATTTATTTGGATAACCAGACCTAAATGAATTTGCACACATTCAATAACGTGGAATGCAAATTTAGTTTGAAAAATCTGTTAGGGAAAAACAGTGCGGGGTAACTAGCCGCCTAATAGAATGGTGCTTTCAGTCTCACTGCTGGATTTAATTCTGTTTTCCAGCAGATTCTCTATGGTCAGTGCTATTTGCAGCCACTTCCCACCCTCCCAGGCTCAACTACCACAGATACTAACTTGTAGGAAATGCTGTCCGATATTTAACCTGCCCCCAAGATCACTGGAAATGCAGACGACCTGATTTGATGTCCACACATCAAAACAAAGGTGTGTTAACTTCTAATCCATATTATGTTAAAGCACAATCAAGAGTTGGCTTTGAAAGCCTAAAACACCGTAACACTCGGGTGGATTCTCACAGTGGAATCACATGCACTACATACTGTACGTGTTGCGGCTCGCTGCATAAACAGGCTGTCAGTACGCTGTAGTGGAGTGGGGCTCAACACTGCCATCAAATGGCTATAGACAACACAGAAGCCTATGGGAAGTGTGAATTATGGTTACACCACAGTGTTTGCAGCGGTTCAAAACATCCGCTCTGTTTGCCCAAGTTGATTTCACTTACGCCAAAAGCAGAAGCGTAATCCCATCTTCACTGTGAGCATGTCAGATTAGAAACATTTATTCGTCACAGCCTTTATGCGCTCATGTCTGGACTGGTACGCCGTATAACTTCTGAAACAGTCTTTACAATCACAGGGAGCATGGCGTAACACTAAATCACGCACCAGTTGCATGTTTTTGATGCTTCGTAAACAAACAACAGTCAGACTCTGTTGCACAAATGTTGTAACATTTTTTTGTGTGATTTCTTATTTTGCAGTTAATTTCATATTGAGAACATAAACAGATGAGCATTTCTGAATAAAATAATAGGGAGGGTAATGTGTAGTCGCTGATCTTCATGTTCTGTAGGAGACAGTCAGTCAGGCTGATCCACTTCTGCATTTCTACGGGGTATCATTCTCGCTGCGAAAAAAAAAAAGTCTAACGCATCTCCGATTGGGCTCTAAAGAGACCTCTCTAGAGCCCATCCCCAAGGCTAATGATATTACAAACCAGACTAGACCATTTATGAGGTTTAACCTACTTATCACCAAACTGTTATGATAAAGCAATACAAGCCCCCTGAGAGTCTCCGCAGCTCCGTTACAATCAGCTTAGCCTTGACAATCGTTCGTTTTAACTTTAACCAGCAGTTAAACACTGTTAATAAAGCATTAAATTCACTTGATCACTTCAGGTTTGACATTCAGAAGACGTCGGCTCACGTTCGCGCTTTGAGCTCAGCCTCTGAATGCATAGCGTACGAGCGGGTTTATTTGTGAAAGAGAAGAAGATGGATTTCGACTAGACATGCACGTAAATAAAGGGGGGGGAAGAAAAGTGCTCTTGTTTAGCCAGTGAGACAAGGTTTGTCTCTGATCAATAAAGCATGACAGATATTGCACAAAGAGGATTGCGGCTGCATCCTTCGTCTTAGCAACAACAGCCTGCCAGTCCAGTGTAATCTCTCGCACATAAAAAAATCACAAAAACACACGATTCAAGCTGTAGCACCTGTGTCAGCTCGTTCGGTTTGGGCTTCCTTAACTTTCTAGTCATATAGTCGCAGTGTTAAGTGTTTGAACAGTCAAAGAACATCAATCACAGGTCATCCCTCCTTGTTATCCCGTATTTTCTATTGCTCTGTACTCAAAGACTCCTACCCAATGCAACGCTTGTCTTTTCTGTAGAAAAAAAAAAAAAAAACGGATTGTAATTTAATTCACTTTAGCTTTTTGCTGATATTCGACCGGCCATAGAGGCTGCTAAGCCTTTTTGACCTATGAGAATTCTACAAGGATAGAAAGTGATTTATTCTAACAACTGATTTAGAGGACACACGGCTGTTTAAATTGATCCCTCGGATGACAGTATGTGGAGATGAAAAGAGGAGGATGGGAAAAAAGGAATGATAAATGGGACACTGACAGGTTAGCGCCGCACAATGTGTCGGACATCTTCATCAATTCACCTTTTCATGAACCTCTCTATTAATCTTTTCTGCCATTAACAAATGATCTCAATCCCCAACTAATCTGCTTTCAACTACCATCTGATAGCCATCACTCCACCTCTGGACCTGCGATCTTCATTTTACGCTCAGCAGTATTCGTGTTTACATATCTCTGAACACGCAGGATCAATGCGCATCTATGTATCTACAAACACGGGTGTCATTTCCTCCAGTCTGTGATGGATTGCACCTGGGAAAGACTTTACAGATTGAATTCCTCGGGTCAGGGTAGAGCCACACAGTAAGAGTATGATGAGATACAGTAATCTGTGCTCATGGTGTTTGTGGTCCTACGCCCTGCCTCCCCATCATAATATGAGCAGGAGCTATCCCCTGTTCTCTTACCCCAAGAGCCACGGCTGTGAAATTGGTAGAGGGCCACAGCAGTACTTGACCCCCATAAATAACCCCTGTGGAGCACCAGCTTCATGTCTACTGCAGCCTGTCCAGGCATTTGGCCACAGGCAGGTAATTATGGTAGCCTCTAAATTAGAAACCCACTGGGTGCTAGGAGAGCCACAATTACACCACTACGGGCTAATGTGCTCTGACCCAGACAAAGTGGATGCCACATTTGCCATGCCATGTAAGGGGAGTGTACAAATCACTGAAATACTGCCAATGTCTGCTGTTTTTCCTATTAACTATTCACACACACTGTGTAACGCAGAGAGTGAGAGGCAAAGAGCTAGGGGGCTTATCTAATGCAGACCATCTTTCTCTGCCAGCTAAAGCCCCTACCCCCAATTCCTGGGCGGTTGCTATGGAAACTACCTCATCCCCACAGCAGCTGAGACAAGGATGGAGTAAGGGAATGTGAAAGAATGGACGCAAGTAAAGTGAAAGATATGAAAAATGAGACAGAAGCCTGTAGTTTGCAGTTGGCAATTGAGCGCGCGGTGCACTCTTAGCTCATAATGTATATGGGCAGTAGATGTGCTTTTGCCAACTGGCTGTGTGTTTATTTATTTATTTGTTAAGGTTTCATAAACAGACACATTGCCTAATTAAACCCTGCTCCACTCGGTAATCGCCAGAACATTAGCATGTCCAAAATTACAAGGAACATGTCACATAATTAGATAAGTCCCTTTCTGTGGCACAGAGCAGCGGTTCGTGCTTTTGTGCATGCAGAAAAACACCTCACCATCATCCCACAGTTTCTAAAAAGTATGACAGGCCGGGAAAGTGAACTTAAATTGCTTAACTTAATGAGAAATAATGACCTGTGTCTCCTCCCACTTCACATACTGTAATCTGATCTCTAGCAGAGCGTCAACAAGCAAAAGAAGATAAAACATCATCGTTCTGTTTTGGGTGACAAACGTGTGGCGGAGTACTGATGAAAGACGACTGGTCGCTCAGTCTTTGGCAGTCTATTAAAAATTCAAACAACAAACAGCATGGGATGGAAAGAGAGAAATATTTGTCAGTGAAGACACCTTGTCAAAGCTTTGCTGTCACTGTATGGGGAAAGCAGATTTAACAAGCATAGCCAATTAGCATAGGCAACAAAAGAACCCTGAAAGACTCACAAATATCAACAGAGTGATATCCTATGTGGATACAAACTGTAACCAAACTAACTGCTGCACACAGTTGAACACACAGCATCTAAACACCACCCTCAACCTTCTACTTTAACACATTACATCAGAAAACCATACTCGTTGCTCAAGTTTGCAAATAGATTTCATTTTCCAATCATCTCCTTGCAAATCAGGTCTCTGTGTGTTTTTGCTCACTTACCAGTATCTTTGCCAAGACACCATCGTCATTAGATTCCATGGTAACCACCGCCTTGTCTGTCTCAATCTCACAAAGGGCATCGCCTGCTGCCACTTCCTCACCTGTAGGAGAGAAGAAACACGTCTGAGAATTTTCAAAATGAAACAGACATCTGTCTGGCATTGAGGAATCCAATTCCCAAACAATGTTTTTTAAATTATTATCAAGGGGTTTCTGACCTTAGTTAAAGTGCAAATGATTAATTTTAGCTGTTATTGGAAATGCATGAATGATAATTATCAGTGACGGCGGCTCTTTCGCTGGTACTTTGACCACACACAGAACAAATTAGTTGCCATAAAAATGAAAGGATTCCATTGAAGGGACAAAAAGGTTATGCGGGAAAATATCTAGTCTGGCTTCAGCATATCAAATGAAGAGCCTAATCAATGTTTCATGGGAAAGAATGTGAGATACGGAAACGCAGCGTGTCTGATAGAAGGCGAAATCTTTGCCTATCCTTAGAATCCCAGCAGTCCACTCCATGAAAGAGCTGGAATATATTATCATCTGATTAGCAATGAAAGAGGGTGGCAATTAGGAACTACTGGTTCAGTTCTTGCATGCTCATATATTCACCACAAGATACAACTAAAATGGGCTTCGAGTGGAGAAATACACAAATAAATGGATGTTATCAGCTCCTTGTGAAAACAGAAAAGAGAAACAACTGTTGTCGATTGTACAGGAAAATTCATTTGCACAGGACAATGCTGGTTGGAAATCAACAGTTTAATGTTTGAGGTGAAGAATGTTTTGCCACAGGCACTTGGTGTCAGTCTGTTTCAGGGAGACAGTCAAGAACAGGCACGGTCTGATTGAATTGTTTTTATGACATATGCCCATGTGTTATGATGTAAAGAGGAGGTGAGACAAAGGTCAAGGGTGATCCAGACCCGACATCCGATCACAAATACTGTAAGAGGGTACATCGGCTGGGTATGGTGCAAAGACTAGGAAACTCAAAGACAATGTGTGAGAGAAGTATTGGTGAAAAAAAAATAAATTTAAAAGACCTGAGTTCATAGGTTTTGTTTAGGGTACACTGATGTGTTTGAAGCAAAAAGGAGAAGTAGGGTTGATCAAGGGAAGACTAGATCTGGATACTGTAGGTGGGGGAAGGTTGAGAGAGCAGAGGAAGTATTGATGCTGGAAGCCCCTGAGAGCGAGTAAAGATTGGATTTGTATGAGGCTTTAACACCGCATGACCCCAGGGGTTAGGTGTGATGTTGATGTGCAATATTAAAGATTAAACAGCCGCCCCAGGCCTTTTCAGTTCTGCACGACCAGAATGCAATGGACACAGCAACCAAAAAAAGATACTTAGACTACATAGGTATGCAGGCCAGGGTTTGTGTTGGCGGAAGGAGCATGCTAAAATGTTCTCACTATTGTTGAAATGTTCTCCTCCAAAACAATGAAGGAGAACTGTTTGTTAATTCAACCATTTCAGACAGATGAATGCCTTTTCAAAAGCTGAAACATAAGCAGTCCGCTTCAGTGTAAATCATTCCTTCACATATTAATCTTATATGTAATAAAATGTAAGTGCTTTTAATGAATCTGTTGAAATCCCACTACAAACCTGTGTGCACGGAAATGTTGTGCAAACGAACGAAAGCAGTATTCTAGATGTGTTTTTCTTGTCGCTGAGAATTTATCTTTCCTTCCTCCGCTTTCTCACTCACAACACACATGTACAAATCTCACCCCGGAGTCACAGTAGCACATGGCAACACAGCAGAGCAGCCAATCAGAATTCAGCATGCTGCCTCCTGATAAATGAGAGTGTGGCTGAGGCGCCTGGTTGAGCAGAGTTGCTAAGCAGTGATGAATAGTGACTGCTGTGATCCTTGAGCCAATTAGCCACCAGAGGCCCTCAGGTGCTCCGCTGCTCGGGCCGCTGTCTTACAAAGTAATGCCATGTCACTGAGTTAATGATAAGTGCTGCTGTGGCTCTATCATTGTGGGGGGAGCTTTTGATTATGATGTACAGAGGCTGTTGACTGCAAGCGAGCGTTCAAATTTACATAGCCGCTGCAAGAGAGGGAAAATTACACGTGCAAAAAAAGTGAGACATCTGTCCTTTTGGATGACACATTATCAGTAAAATTTGAACAGCTTAGTTAAAATCAATGCGGTGATGACACTTGTCTATGGAAGTCTTATATCATCATGTGCTTCAATTACCTTCCTTCTTCAGCCATTTGACTATGTTTCCCTCCTCCATGGTCGGGGAGAGAGCCGGCATTTGCACTTTGAGTGGGCTGACACCTAGAGGACAGAAAGAGAATAACATACAATTTCATAGAGGAAGTAGCAATGTCAAGGGTAATTAGGCTGAAAAGTAAAGTAAAACAATTCCCCCAAGGGCAAAAAAAAAAAAAAATCACATTCAGAACCTCCCTACAGGCGAGTCAAAGGCCAACTTCAACGATGTGACTGTCAAAATAAATCAAGGTAACATGTAGTTCCCATGTTTGGTAACAACAAAGCCTTGCAGTAATAAAGTACAAGAAGAGACAGTGTCACCATAAAACAAGAATGCCAGGAGGTCACTTTGGTGATCCTGCCTGACACCACACCAGAGGCTGCAGAGTAACTCATACTCTTGCAGGCCTTTGAGCCACCATCAAAGCTTCCCACTTTTGCCAGATACAGTCACTCAGAAGACAAGAGTTCAACTGGCTCACAGCAATGGGTTGGACACTAGGTCTTCAGATTGCCAGAACAAAGCCAACATCCGGGCTTCAGAGTGATCACTACTTTACTACAACTAGTCTGCAGTGCTGCAGACAAAAGAACTGTCAGGTTTAAAAAGGAATACCCCAGTGTGTTCAGTGTTCTTCATATCCAGTGAACTGCACAAACACTAGAAGCATTTAGTCAATAACTTCAGAGCATTTTTATTAGATGTGACCAAAACAACCATGCTTCTGGAATATGATGCTGCTTCAACAGGCAGATATGTCCTCAATGTTCACCACAGAAATGAAATAAAATCTGTGGAAAAACTATAAAAGCAAGTTTGAAGAGATACATACATATATGACTAAGAATTGGTTTCTAATCTCACTGTGTTCTGCTGCCATCTGCTGGATGTTTGGCAATGTCACAACGCTCAAGTATGTCTGAGTTGAACATCAAGATGGTAAATGCTTATATAGCACTTCACAATGTGTTTCTCATTCACACACACATTCATACACCAATGGCCACAGAGCTGCCATGCAAGGTGCTGCCTGCCATTGGGAGCAACTTTGGGTTGAGTGTCTTCAGGGGGCAGGGGATCGAACCACCAACCTTGCGATTGGAGGACAACCCGCTCTACCACCTGAGCCACAGCCACCCTGGATTTGTTATGTTGTGTTTTTTCCTCAGTATCTGATAATTAATAATGTCAATAATTAATAAACTTGTTACTTGTCCGTTTATTTGTTTGAAGCTTTTCTCATAAGCACAGTAAAACCTTTAAGTCCCCCTGTCACACAAAAACAGGTTATGGTGAGTGTTACTGCTTCAAACTGTTTTCATCTGCTGAAAGCAAAAAGGCCCTCTGTGCCCACCTTAAATCTGAGTTTAGGGTGTGTACCTTCCAGCAGGATTTGTGACACAACAGCTACTTTATAAGTCAGTTTTGGTCTGAAGGGAAACATTCACAGGTGTGATGTGGAAACCTGAAGCTAGAATTGCAAATTTTATTCATTTTTATTTTTATTTTATTTAACCAGGTGGGTTACTTGAGAACAAATTCTAATTTACAATAACGACCTGGCAAATACATTGTTAATGGACTTTCAGTGAAGAAGAAGACATCTCGTATTAAGTAGTTAAACCTTTAAAAAGAACATTTGCCTAAAGATTTTTGGATGAAGCAGAATTTTTTCATCCTACACAGGTGAATTAAGTATTTTAACTGGAAAATTAATATCACACAGAATTATTATTCAAAGAACACTTTAATAGAGCTTCAAAAATGCCTGGAAGTTTTTTTTTTTTATTTCTTTTTTGTCTTTTTAATATGCAGCTAAACATCAGAAACACCATCCACCTCTGGGTGTGTCTGTGTGAGTAAAACATTTTGTCTCAGATGTACACCACCACCAAAAGATTAAAAAAATAAATAAATAAAAATGACCACTTTGACATGTCATAACAGGAAAGAACAAGTTTCATTAAGACTGGCAACGATGGTCATATTTCATTTATTTTAGCCCGTTCCAGAAAGCTGCAGTGCTGAAGGTCTGCTTGCCTGCTTACTGGCATAGTTTGGAATTGAGCCATTGGTAATGTGATTAGCTGTATCTGCAACTTTCATGCTACGACACATCTGATAGAAAGTCAAGTCACAATTATTTATACAGCACATTCAAAGGTACAGCCGCTGTGTCAAAGTGCTATACATGAGAAAAATAAGATTACAAGTTCACCTAACAAGTTTAAATACTGTGGATAAGACCCTACAATCTTATTTTTGATGCAAATTTACCCAAGGACTTTAAATGTCAGGCATTTAAACGTCATAAAAATGATCTAAAATAGAAGTTTACATGACTATAATAAACACTAAAGCTAAGAACTTAAATGTTATGTATGAAGATTAATAAAACAATTTTAAATATTAAAGCTAAGACCCTAATAATTGTTATTAATTATGAAGATTAACCAGACTGACTGAGAACTACAGTTATGACCCAACAAAAACATACATGAAAACCCAACAAATCTGAAGCTTCTTTAGATTCCCTGTGAGCAAGCTTCATTTTTAGTTTTCTTTTGGTTTTTTAAATGTTGTCTTATTTAATTTTATTCCATTATTTTTTCTATCCTTTTCTGTTAACCACTGAGGTCATGAGCAGCACTTTTAGGGATCAAATATTTGAATAAATTACAATTTCCATTCACTATATATATATATATATATTCTTACATTATGCTTTAGATTCTCTTTCCAAAGGTTAATTATTTCGTGCACTTTCTCCCTGTGATGAATACTGATTGATCAATAATACGTCTCAGAGGCATTCTCTTTTTATTTAATTTCAAAACTTCTGTTTCAGATTTAGACGGTCCTACATCAAAACTTTTTACACAAGCAGGGCTGTAAAGGCCTGAATTTGACAGTATACCGTTAACTACCAGTTCAAACCCTGGATCAGACGTGCATCCTAAATATCAGCTTTTGAGACTTTAACTACTACAACTGGGGCAAGTATGAGAAAACCACAGTTGGTTTAATATCATCTTGGTCATCGCTAAATAACGCGGTTGCAGCACAGTCTGTCAGAGAAATTAAAAATAATTAAATAAGCAATATTAGAGGGGTGACACAAGATATGGCACAAGTAACCAGCAGCTTTTTTTAAATGTCATTGGAGCCCTTCCATTTAACAGCACTGTTACTTGTTGTAATGCTACGAAAAGCAATCGCAAAGCTAGCTAAATACTCTATTAACGGAAAAAAGGCGAACGACGGTAGCTAATGTCAGCGGCTGCCGCTACATAAAGGACGACGCCCATTTTACCGTTAAAACCGCCGACACTCACCGAGCATCCATGGCGACTGAAAGAAGTGCCGAACCCGGTCCTGCCACGGGTGTGTGGCCCAAAAACATTTATTAAATTTCGACACCCTAAGCCCTAAATAAATTCCCTGACGACCCAGACGCAAGGAGGCCGCCATGTTGTCGTCCTCCGGTGGCGAGGAGTGTCCGTACACATGCCTGACGATAAAAACAAACGGGGAGTAGGAAGAAAAAGATGGCGGCCGAATTTAATTTATTCTATAACAGTTATGAAGCGTAGTTAACTTTAAAAGGCAAGCATTAAACTTTGGGGGATTTTGTAAGTACAGCCATTAAATTATCAAGCCATTTAGATATTAACGAGCAGGCACAAAGGGGCTACCTATATTGGTCTTTCGAGGGACTTCACGCTGCTGTTCTGCTGCCTTCAAACAGTCGACATCTGCACTGTTTTGAGCTGTAGCGCCCTCTGCTGGGGAACGTGTCAAACTGTCCCTGTTACTGTGCTGAATAGTAGTAAGAAGTATTTTTAAGGCCCCCATATTGTGCCCATTTTCAACAAATAATAGGCAGAGTCACCTTCTCAGTCCTGCTCTAAGAGGGCCGTTTAAGTGCAACCGAGCTGCTGCTGTTTGTGCCCCTGTTCAGGAAGAAATCCGTCTCTGCCTCTGTGATTGACATGGCACAAAAAGATGGCTCATCACGCAGGAATTCGACGAAGACACTCTATCATGTCAAGTTATCTTTCTGGCCCATCGTTTGACATTGAATTACTGAATTCACAACACAGCTGTTGTTTTCAGTTTGTGTATAGTGCCTTTGTTAGTAAGTATGCAGTTTTAAAGGGTTGTGTTTAAGCTACTACTTGTTCTGCTGTCTGCCAACACAGAATAATTCTGCCAATGGATGAAGCTTGATGGGATTTTGCTTTTGTTTTTATTGCATTATATGTGCACACAAAGGGCAGGAGAGAAGCCAACATGGAAACACGAGCTGAGTTTCTCCAGGTGACATGGAGATTTATTAACCCCACACACAGTCATTGTTCATTGGTTTCAAATCACTCCTAAATCATCTCTGAATTTCTCTGGTTCCCCTGAGCTCTGACCTGTGGGCCAAAGCTGATTGTAAAGTTAGTCACATTAGCTGCACAACATCCATCCATCCATTATCTATACACCGCTTAATCCTCACTAGGGTCATGGGGGGCTGGAGTCTATCCCAGCTGACTTAGGGCGAAGGCAGGGGACACCCTGGACAGGTAACCAGTCTATCAGAGGGCTACACTTAGAGACAGACAACCAAGCACACTCACGTTGCTGCACAACATACTAGCACTGATAATTTCCATGTTATTGTGGAGATGTCCTAAAAATAAATCCACTGGATCTTCAATTCATCAGATGCTGGGAGTGCATTAAGACTCTTGCAGCAAACAGCAGAATATTTAGTGGCTTTGCTTGTGACTGAGACATTGTTCTTACGTTATTTTTTTTGGCTGTTTGCCTTTATTTGACAGTACAGTTGAGAGAGAGAGACAGGAAAGTGGGGGAGGAGAATGGGGGAAGGACCTGCAAGAGGGACTTGAACTCATGACGTCTGCATCAGGGACTACAGCCCCTGAAAATGGGACGCCAGCTCAACCAGGTGAGCTTTAGCACCACCCCACTGTGAGACATTTTTGAATTAGCAGAAGCAGTTCTAGAAAGTAAACAAACCTAGTGGACTGCTCATTCTTAGACTCAGACTGACTTTATTAATCCCAGAGGGAAATTCTGTTGTTACAGCAGCAATATTCAACAAAGGGGTAAACAAAACAAAAGGACAACACAGGATATTCTGAACGACTCACCTGAAGGTACCAGGCAGTGAGGGGGCAGGGAGCTGAGCTGGATGACTGTAGAGGTTCCTGGTTGTACGTGGAACTAAGGTCAAATTCTTAATGGCTTGTAAAGGAGGTTATCTAGTTGTGGCGGGCCGTGAGGTATGGCAGAAGTAAACTTCTTTATATCAAAAATGAAAACAACAAAAATGGGTTTTTATCATTTCACGTTTAAATATGTAAGTCACGGTCAAACAATGCGTACTGTCAGTACAATTGTACTCATATTACTGTACTCAGCGCATATTATGTTCTTGAATGTCACTTGGTGTCTGTCAAGAAGACGACAGGCGACAGTGAATAAGCAAAATGATCCATCACCGTCATCCATCTCAGCTGTGATGCACATTATTAGTCAATAGTCTAGATGAAGCAGAGGTGTGAATATTGAGGGGCTCAATGGATGAACCATTCTTTTTAATTGTTCCTGGCAGAGATGCTATCTTTTGTTTTTTGCCAAGAAAGAAAATACTGAAATAATCTTTCCATCAGTTCGATAAAGGGCGATGGAAATTCCATTTTGTTGACACCAGGACTAAAAATATAACCCGTTGTGTGAGTGGGGAAAGGTTGAAGTCTTAAGGACAGTGACACAAAGGAGATCTTGTTTAAACACAGTATGCAAATGTAGAATGACATGTTACACTTTCAATTTTGATCATTTGAAGCTATCAAAACAAATGTTTGTGGGAATGAATTTCGTGCTTTATCTACCTTTTTACTGGAAAAAAAAATGCATATGTGACAAGATATAAATCTACATCTGATGTTTTTGTGATGTGTGTGCAAACAAGGAAGTTTTAGCGTGAGCTTATGTCAAAAAGTGCATGGTTGGGGGGGAGAAACATTCATGGAAAGTCGAAAAAATCTGAGCAGGAAATTGGCTTTAAAACATTCTCGCTAAACAACACACCTTTTTTCAGGAATACTTCCTCGTTTTTTTGGCTACAAACGAACGCCAGAAAGACCTGACTGCAAGTCCGTTTTTAATTGTTCAGGTAAACACAGTGACTTCAGGATTGTTTTGTGTTTCGTGTAAATGCCTCAAAGATGAGTCAAAGGATTTATTTAGCATTGATTCATTTATTCTAATGCTCCATATATTTCTTTGATACCATCATAAAGCAGATTGTTGTTTGATAATGGGCAATGAACTGAGACGTAGCCTCAACCCTGCTAAAAAAAAAAAAAAAAAAGTAAAGCTGCATCAGTGACGCAGCTCTAATCTGTCCAACTCACAGTTTGGGCTAAATGCCTCACAGGTCCATTTGAGTGTGAAGAGAAAATGATAAGGGGCCCTGATAAGCTGGGACAGTGTATCTGCTGAGAGAACACAATAGCCCCACTGAGCCGGCATAGGACACAGACACAAAATCCCATCTGGCTGTCTCCATGCCCATGCTTAGGCTATCTTTTATCACTTCCCTGTTCTCCCTGCAGCATCTATCTGATTGAATTAATGTTGTCCCTTTTAAATAATAAAATAGCCTTTGCGTGGCTCATTCAAATCTGAAAATAATTTTCTGACAATAGGAGATAAAGACACTCGTGGGCAGGTATTGCATATTGTTTTTTTGTGGCCAAACAAAGGCAACCATTGTTTCATCTGTGCAGTCTAGTGTGACAACAAGGGCACCATCCTTATTCTAATAGCTGGTAAGCAACGAACGCGCTGCAAACGTGAGACACGTGGATTAAATGTCTCCTCTCATGTGAGTGTTTTTCTTCTTTGCCAGATCTATTACAACTGGTTTGGGTGCATGTTTGCGTATACGTGCCATCGTTGCTTAATAATGCCCTCCAATCAAGTCTTGTAGGCAGGATACGTGTTATGCTGGTTTAACGGTGCTTTCTACACTTTCTCAGGTAGACTGTCTCCTCTTGTTTGCTCTCTGCTCTTGCAAACCACGTACGTCATCGACCTCAGATAACCACACACGCTGTCCTCGCATACAGGATTCGGTGCGTTTCAGCTAGATCTGAATCGGATGCCGGCTCTCTTCGTGCACCCTCACACGCTGAGGGTATGTAAAGCGTTCACCGGGCAGTGGTGTGTTAGGGAAATCAAACTCTTGTATGCAGAGGTGAGATCAGTCTGGCTCATTTGCCTAACTGTTCATTTATCTTCAGACAGTCACATCAAACATTTCCTCATATCACAGCTCACAGCAGCACCCACGTTATGTGAAATTAAGGCCAGATTTGAGATGTTTATGCCTCTCTGTGACTCTGATGATTAGATGGAAACCGTCATTAATTTCCCGCTCAACTCTTTTTCCTGCAGTATATTAATATCCAGGCACGATGCGTAGAAGTCTTAATGATATGGCCATCAAATACAATGAATGTAAAGGTTAAATAAAACACAATTCATCCTGAGTACTGAATCTTTTGTGCCTTCCTGGCTGCTTAACAATCTAGTTCACGGACTGTCACTCTCAATTTCAAGTTTCCCGTCACTGTTTAAGAAGCTAAACTTATAATTAAACCAATAATCCTAACTTTTGTTTTAGTGAAACATTAATCACAGCTTGATTTTGTATAGATTTCAAATTAAAAGTGCATATGGATCGTACTGAGAGCAGCCCTGGAGAAGTACAAAGTGTGATTGCTCCATATGAAAACACCGACTCTCAACAATGGCATATGATGGATATGCACTTCAATTTGAATTGCATTGCTGGCTTGTTTCATGTAATATAACAATGAGGCAATCAGTCGCTATTATTTCAGTCCCATCAGGAACAGTCGCCGGCTCCACCGTCTGTCTGTACGCAATTTTCTGTATTTCATCTAATCATCAGTGAAACACAAAATTATAGCAAACCCTCCTAATCACAGATGGTTCACTGCTACCAGGACAAAATGTTCTGCTCATCTTTCAGAAATGTCATCAAGTCTGATCACAAAAGCGTCATGTTTAGCTCTCAATAACAACATGACACGCAATTTCCTTCAGTTCATAACGGGGCATTATCTGTCTGTGACACTGATGTGTGAGAGCGCGGCGACCGACAAAGCTGAAGGGGACGCGTCGGTGCAGCGGGCAAATTTTTTAAAGCCATCGGGAGAGATAATGACGGAATATGGCGTCAATCAATGGCACACTATGTAAAGAAGGGCTGTGACAGCCAGCTAAATCAGAGTGACGATCAGACATGGATTTGCTTGTGAACACAGGCCAAAGAAAGGGGCCTTTCACTGACACCGCTTTTTATCTCGCTGGCCATCGAGGCCCAGTCGGTCGCCTGGTGCCTGGAGGAACCAGCTTGGCAGCTACGGCACGCTCTGGCAAACAGTTAACTGCGCGGCATTCCACAGTGTCACGATAAAGCAGAGATGGCCTGCGTTATCTCTGAGTGCACGGCTTCTCAACGTCAGTTTGTAACAGATTCAGTGGAAATGAGGCCGTGAACTGCAGGTCTGAACTGCACTCTGCTGGCAGTCGGTATTGTTCAAGTCTGGGCAAGATGAGCTGCATTTTCAGTGTTAAACAACACCCAACGTGCTTATTGATATAACTGATCAGCAGCTTCGGAACAATATTTCTTGGTCTCATAGCAATTTAAAGTCTCAACGATTGTCCTTTTTGTTTAAATCTGGTGGTTCGACTGAAGACTAAGACTTGATGCTGGGTTTCCTTTAGGTTGACTTCTGTCTGTACGTCAGTCTGAGTCTCCAGTGACTCCTAGAACTCTCTGAAACGTGGATCTTTGTCACAAAAAAAAAATCGTGAATTTTGCTAATTTACACCTAAAACTGTGCACATGAAAAAAATGACTTTCAAAAAATAAAAACACTCACAAGCTTTATTTGTATTAAACACCAGCAAACATTTACACACTTTCTTGACAGTTCAATAAATGCAAAAATATGAAATAGGACAAACCACATTGTTATTTTCTTGTAAATATTCTTTTTTCTTCTTCTTTTTAAAATATATATGTATACTTTTTTTAATGTATGGTACTTCAATGCTGCATTGTGCTTATGACATGTTACTTGTATTATTATTTATTGCTGTTTTTATGCTTCCATCAAGCATCCCTCCCAAAGGACACTTCACAGTATCAACGTCAAAACACTCAGTGTGCGTCTGTTTGCCTGTGTTTTGAACGCTGCGTCATCGTGTGCTCCTTTGGGACTGGGATGAAGCGTCTGATTCGGACAGAAAAACAGGATCACGTGTGCTTTACGGTAACTTTCTGGCAGCTTCGTTATCCTTTTCATCAGCAAGATTCTATGTAAACACGTGTCAGCTTTTACTGATAGTAAGGCACAATTAGGAACATCTCAGTGCAGTGTCACAACAAAAAGAAACGCATTTATAAAAAGTAGACAAGGGGAGGGAAAAAAAACAAACACGTAAACACATCTTTATCAAAAACAGTCAATGAAAACTATAATAAAACATCACATCTGCATACAACACAAAAGGAAACATAAATTAATGAAATTGTCACTTCTCTGATTCCCTCCATCCTCTCGCGTTCCTTCCAAACTTGTAAACCAGCCTGCGGCCGTCTACTCGCTCTAGGATTTCTCGTTTGTAGTAATATCTGCGACAGAGCAGAGACAAGTCAAACGAATTCATTCTGGATCATCTAAAATGTGCTTGAAATTGCAAATAAAGTGTAATGCGAGGCCTGAACTTCTCAGTTTGTTTGGATTGACTGAATTGATTTTCACTAATGTTTGACTGGTGTTCAACCCTGTTTCAGGATAGCCCAGATTGATTGTTAGCTATCCATCCATTATCTATACACCGCTTAATCCTCACTAGGGTTGCAGGGGGGCTGGAGTCTATCCCAGCTGACATAGGGTGAAGACAAGGGACATTATGGACAGGTCACCAGTCTATCACAGGGCTACACTTAGAGACAGACAACCAAGCACACTCACGTTGCTGCACAACATACTAGCACTGATAATTTCCACGTTGTTGTGGAGATGTCCTAAAAATAAATCCACTGGACAGACAACCAAGCACACTCATATTCACACCTACGGACAATTTAGAATCACCAATTAACCTCAACATGTTTCTGGACTGTGGGAGGAAGCCAGAGAACCCGCAGAGAACCCACGCTGCATGGGGAGAACATGCAAACTCCACGCAGAAAACCTCAGGCGACCTTCTTGCTGTGAGGCAACAGTGCTACCAACCTGCGCCCCTTGACTGGTAACTACTTCCATCTTTTCCACTTCAACTGACGGTTCAACAAGCTTTAAGTTCTGATCTGTTATCTGCTTTCTTCGCCAGGACATTCACTGACAATCAGCTGACAGTTTAACATTCCTCTCCTGCTTTCTGTTTACAAATGAACTCCTTCCTGGCATTACACTTGAGGTGAACATATTAATTCCTGTCAGGGACACACCTCTGCTGTTTCCAGTTCCTTTAACTGCAGTGCTTACACTACAGTTAAATTAATGAAAGGGTACGGCACGTCATGGCCTTTCAGTGCATTACCTTCACTTTGACTGCTTTAAATGCTCCCACTCAACACGTTCTATAAATAAAACTCATTATACAAACACATTTGACCCTGTTTGCAGTGTTTGCGGCTGCAGTTTTCTATATAAGCGAGGAAACTTTTTAAAATTTCAAATAGGCTTTTCTGACTAACATTGTGCTAAAGTGTATTAGAGTCTGCTTTTATCAGGTTAATGCGGCGCTGTGATCAAATATGCAATAAGGTGAGACGTGTCATTTCTATAAGGCTCGTTAATTGAACGAGGAAATAAAAGAAAGAAATAAAACGACCTTCCCAAGAGGTAAAAGTTAGATCCGACATCAGTTAATAAAATGAATATCCTCTTTCTAAAAGGGTTCTATATTTGCAGACGAGGTTGAGCAGTGTGTCAGATAGGGCAGTCAAAAGGCCAGTGGAAGATTTTTAATTTAATCAGAGTAATTAAGTGAGAAGCAAACTTGTTCTCTTTATTGGGAGGGATCCAAACACGGCACCTGTGCTATTAAAAGGAGCACACTGTGCACGTGCTTTCCCGGGCCATAAAGGTCCAGGTTTAATGGCAGTGACGAGGCAAAGTGCTGCTTACTTCTGGTGCTCGGTAGGTTATACAGCCAACCTGCCAAGTTGTCTTTTTAGTACTGCAGGCTGGCTGTTGTGGTAGTTTGTGTGTTTTCCTTTTTTAGGTAAAAAGGTTAATTCTTGCGTGTAGTTTTGGTTATTCACTGATACTGCCTCACAGTGTCTTCCGATTAGTGTGCCACTCCTCTGCAATAAAACGCTCCAATATTTAACCAAGTTTACAGTAGATGTTAGTGACCCACATTTAAAAAAAAAAACTGTCCTCTTATGACATCTCGACCCGCACCGACTGTTGGCTTACTTATTAAAGTTCACCTGAGTTTCTATCGAGGGCTTAGTCAGATGTTATTCCGCGGCTTTTGTTATCCGTAACTGAGAGCACAGCACCGATCTGTTCGGTGATGCCATCAAGCAGCAAATCCTTCTGCGGCACTACAGTAAATAGAAAATCAGCTTTGCGGTCACAGTGACAATACCTGCAGGCACATTTTGTAGTTCCCACTGGTTTGCACTACAATGAAAGTAAGCTCATTAGATTAGCTCATTTGAATGTAAAGCTGTGTCTACTGCAGCAGCCGGGGAAGATTTTTTTTCTGTGGAGAAGGCCATTTCTGTTCATTTGGGGAGAGAAGCGGGCGCACGTAGCAGATCAAAAATGTGTCCATTGTAGGTAATGAGCAACGGGGAATGTCTTTTAAAGTATTGAGGTCACTGTTTTTTTTTTTTAGATGCGGGAACTCTTAATGATGCCACTTAGACGCATCTGAAGTTTCAAAGTACATTTTGTTGCTGTTACAGTGTGTTCTCTCCGGTAGCAAGTGCATTATAATCTTCTTAAGTAAATTGGATTAGGAACAATATCGTGTGAAATTTCTTCCTCATTACAGATTTTACAAGCTGTGGCCAAAGTAAGGAAAGATCACGTGCATGTGTAGGAGGCTAATAGGCGGGACAGGAAGTTGTTTTTTAAAACCGCACAACAGAGGCTACGATCTCCACTGAATTCAGATCAAAGAGGAGTAAAAGCAGTGCTCAAAAACAGAGATTTAAAACTTGTATCTGCATTCACTTTCTACATAAAGTTCACCCACAGGCCTTATGTAAGTTCTCTATGTGTGAGGGAGAGCTGTGCACACGTACCTCATCGCGCGACTTAGTTTCTCGTAGGTCATGCTGCTGTTATTCTTCTTCTTGCCCCATAGTTGCGCCACCGCCTCCGACTTCAGAAAGCGGAAAACCCCCTCCGCCCGATCCTCCCACTTGATCAGGCCCGGGTTCCGCTCTGGGTTCAGCAGAATGTCCCGGATGAACTCCCACAAGTGTGTCCCCCTCGGGTCTGCAGACGCATCGGATCATTTACACGTTTTTGGTTATACTACCACAGTAGTTTATTTTTATTTTATTTGTTATTATTATTTTATCAGAGTTTTTTTTCAATCTAATATTTTTTATTTATTTAATATATTTTTTTTTAAATATTTTTTTTATTTTCTTTATATTTTTTATTCTCTAGAAATAAAAAATGCACATCAAACAAGATCCTGGGTCTTAGGAGGTTGACATGTAAAGGGTGGGTTTCTTTTACTTACTGTGTTTTTTGACCTGGTGAGGACGACTGAAAGACCGTTTGATATCTGGAAGGAAGACATCAAAGCATCTTAATATTTTCATTTGTAATATACATGCTGCATGAGTATTACATGTCATGTGTGAAACTGTGATGTTGTGTGTGAAATAATTTCCTCACCAGGACTAGAAGGAGTGGGAGAGACAACAGGTGGGAGGGAGTGAAGCGAGGGATCATAGAGTTCTAGGTTAACAGATAAAAGAACAATCCAGGTTAGTGTTTATTATATTTCATGAATCAGTTTTGAATAATAGCATACCAGTAATGATAATGTAAGAATCGCAGTACCTCCTGGTGGAAAGCTGACATCTGGAAACGGACAGGAGTAGTCTACTGTAAAAGACGAAAACAAGCAAAGTGAGAGAAGAAGGAAATAACAAAGCAGCTATGGGGAAGTGTATCCATTCTGACATCGATACGTGTGTGTGTGTGTTTTTCTTAGACAATGACTGAATAAAAATCAATCTGAAAGTCTCTTACATTCGGGTTTGAGTTCCAGTTGCCCTATTTGGTATTGCCCTGCAACAGGGATAAAAGAGCAAATTCACTTTCACCGCATTCATAGTTACACATTAGAAAACCACAGAACAAATCAAAATCTCTTTAGGGAACTAAATCACGTGCTGGAACGTCTGACATTTCAGCCAGATGTTGCAGGAAATCTATCGTGTTGCTTTATGGCACATCCAGAGGTTGTTTTACAACCAAAAACAGGAGGATGGTGCAGCATTCCCGGAGTAAACAGAGCATTTACTATTTCCCTAACAGCAGACAGTAAAAGGACTGGAAGACTGGCTGACTTTCCACACTCTTTCTCTTTTGGTTTTCAGGATAAAAACGCGTAGAAACCACAAACAAACCATTTTCAACTGGAATGAAAAATCTACTTTAAATTCTGAAAACCGCTCAGTTTTTTCGTGTAGTTTGGGAAACACTTTGTTTGTAATAAAACGCGACACGTCATCCTACGAAACCGAGGTGGGTGTTTACAGCCAGACACAACAATAGCAGGACTGTGCTCTTGGTTCAGTTTCAAAGGTTTGGTTTACTGTAAATTTCTTTGCAACCCGGAGGTTAAACCTGTTGTGCCAGGTCTCCTGGCACCACTCCGGTTCAGATGTCAGACAAAATATAATTTGCTGATGTCATTCCTCATTGAAAGTTGGCAAGTATTTGCAGCATCTTATTTGCTTAATCAGCTGTGGTCTACAGATAATAAGTAGAAATGAAAGACAAACAGCGAAGCTTCAGCCTTAAAAACTCACTTTCTGTTCGAGCTCTAATTAAAAAACAGCGGTTGAGCCAATTCTGAGCTTGTTTCTCAGCTTCACACCCCCTCTGCGCTTTGTTAGGAGACCCATTCGAGCAAGAGCAAACAACAAATCCATCATCTCCCTCGTTTTAAGTACTCCTTCACCCCCCTACAGCACCATGCAGCGCGACCCCTGACCGGCTCTGTGATCCCCTCTCAGCAACACTTCATCAAGACTCTGTTCCAGACTCAACTCGAACCACCCAGCCTCTCTCTTATTGGGACTAATCATCTTCCTTTTTTGCCCCTTCAGCTCCTCTCTCAGAGTGTGAGACGCACCGCTCCACTTGAGCTCTGTGATGCTGTGGAAGAGAATGGGTCCCAAGCTGCCGGCAGCACGGATGAAGTCCTGGTAGCTCAGGCTGCAGAGCTGATGGCCGTCCATGTCAAAGTTTTGGAAGGGAATGCTGGAGGCGTCAAACTGGTGGATGTCCAGGACCTGCTGCAGCCACTCCCACACCTGGTACTTAGTCCAGAACTGAGGCTGCGACTCGTGAGGCCACAGCCGACTTGTGTAACCAGACATCACCAGCGGGCCTGGGGACAGACATGAACGCTTCGTGAAAATATCTGGAAATTAAACACATTCGTCTACATGAGTGAATTAATTCTGTTTTAATGTAAAGCTGTATCTGATGAGGAAAACATGAATTCCCCCACTGAAGGTATTTGGCAATAATTAATCTGCAGAACAGTTTAGCGAAAGAGCTGTTGAGCTATTTCTCAGTTGGGAATCCCTAATTCATGCCTTGTTTTTCAGAGCTCTGGGCTCACCAGGTAAGCAATACATCAGTTGCTAATTGCCGAATGATTTTCATTTTGCATCGCGGCTTCATAAGCAGTGAGTGAAATGGATTGTTTAATAGAGAGCAATCAAAAGCCTTGAGCAGAACATTTTAGCATATTTTCTTGAGGCGTTTTGGGGTGTAATTCAGACTGTTTAATTAACTGATTTATGTCGGTAGAAGAGTGCCTATGTAATGCCGGGAAAGCATATGGTCATCATAATTGTGTCGCTCATCGTTCTTACCATCGGGGTAGGCGTTGGTAGGACCCCAGGTAGTGGCGAGCTGGCTGTCCAGAGTCGTGGTCGAAGTTACACTCATATTGTAGCTTCCACACTCTGATGTACCATGGCCCAGGGGCTGAGGCAGGAGGGTAGTCGTTTACTCTGTGGATAGACTAAAAATGAAGCAATCTTTATGGTTTTAGGCAATCCATTTAGATATATACATACATGCATGATGGAGCCACAGGAAAATAACACACATGTCACTGTCTCTACATTACATCAGCGTTCAGCTACTGATAAACAGAAAAGGCTTCTGCTGCTGCTGCCTTACATTAGAAGCGTTCAACAGTTATTGTGTATCAGCCACAGCAAATTCAATCTGTCTGTCAGCACAGTAAGTGCTAAATGCAGCCTGGGAAGCAGCTTCCCAGCGAGTGTTTTTGCTGTATTATTACACTCTTCTTGCCGTTACCGTGGTAACTACAGGTGTCGCCAAGTCAACCAGGCCTGAAATCTCACATCAAACCGCATAAATAAGCTGATTTATTAAATCTGACGCATTTAACTCATCGACTTAATACGTCGTCCGATTGCACCGAACGGCAGCGACGCAAAGCTCCGCGTCAGCACAGTTTATGGTTTGTGCGAGTCGTGCATTGGACATGTTACAGACAAATGGGTTTTATGATTGAACGGAGGCCCATTTGTTTTCGCACAAAACATCAATTTCATTTGCTTGTCAGTTTTGCGATCGCATTTGTTTTGGACTGATTGTAGTGTATTCAGTTCAGTGGATGCTCAAGATGAGTAATATCAACTCGCTGAACACTTGCAGTTACTTTTAGAGGAGTCGCAGCGCTCCGTGTGTGTGAACGGTTCAAATAAAGGCATGTTTCAGAAACTACCACAAGTACATTTGCATCCCATGTAAATAAAGAAAATTATAGTGTGGCGACAGACTGTGCACAATAGCTCAGTCATGGTTTGCACGGTTCACTGCCAGTATCGGGTTTTATGTTACTGTTAAACAGACTGTTTGTGACGCGGCACATAAAATGCCACCCTGTTACTTATTAGCTTAGTTAATAGTGCTGCTGCTTAAATAAATGACTGCTTTACATTCTGCCGGCTGCACTGATGGGCTTGTTTTCATGTGTTCTGTTATAAACTGGAAGCATTTTCCAACATTTAAAAAAAAAAGCTTCTTGGATTTGGAGCAGGTTCCTAATCTGAGAGATGCGCAAAAAGGTGTTGGGTTAGCGTAACGAGCTTCGAGAGGGTTAAACAATAGAACTAATTCTTTACACAGCGACCAGTGCTTCACCTGTTCCCCAGAAGTTCTTGGTCACGCTTTTATGGTCGGTCATAAACAAAATTCCACCGAGCCCTGTCACACTTTTCAACACTGTGCCATTAAACTAACACCTCTCTGACACACAAACAGGTGAAATAATCTCTTTCGAGATGTGGAGCATCTGATTTATAACCACCTACAGTCAAGATCTCTGACTGAGATTTTCCCAGTAGATAGGGGACACATGCCGTCATGCCAAGGCAGATCAGCTCCGCGCCTGACAATGTGCCAAGGTTGCTCAAACACCTCACGCTGTGTGTTAACCCTGTCTGTCGACTACTGCCAAGCACGCATCGTATCAGAAAAGCAGTGAGTGGTTTCTGTCAATACGACAATCGTGCGGCAGTACAAAAGCAAAGAGCTGCAGTTATGGATCAATATCCCTTCAGCTGAGTCACAGTGAAAAATCACTCCGCTGCATTTGTCATCAGATGAGCAACACTTATTTAAAGAAGTTCACGTCAGAATTGTGCCAACTCTGTTGACACGATGGTTTCCTTTCATTCCAGTCATAGCCACATGGCGGCATTTAAAGCACCTGTGTTCATAGTGTTTGTGTTTTTATTTTTTTTCTTTTAACTTTACCTCCTGTAAATATTGCTTCTGAAACCAACCTATAATTAAAACCGGGGATGACGCCAAGGCATTACATATGCAAGCTTTCTGCCATTCCAGCAGCTGAAACAGAGTGAGTGCACAGACAAATATATTAAAGTTAATGCAACAGTTTGCATAGCATTACACAAAATCTACTCAGCTGAGAGTACGTGAGATCTTTTAGAGTATTGAAGCTTCAGCTGTGACAAACTACTGTCCCCAAATTTTTGTGAAAGTGGCAGATGCTATCCTGTACGACTCCACGCCGCAGCATCACTCTGAACATCGCTGTAACAACAAGAGACACACGGAAAACAGGAGAAACAACACGCGGACAGGCTTTGTGATTAAAACAGGTTAAAAAGCCAATGAGAGCCTGTTGCACATTTTCATGATGACTCATTATGATTTTGGAATGAAACGGCACATGCTGAGCCTATTACAACGACCTCCAGTTAAACTACACAGCATCCAGTCGTTTTGAAAAGCGCTGCTGGTCGCCCAGCACCATTATGGCAGCCTACCAGAGCAGTAGAATGGGGTCCAATCAGACCTGATGGAGGTCTCGAGTAGATCCACTCTCAACACAGCTGAATAGATCGATACAGTTTTCTGGAGAGTCCAATACTGTGGCGCAGTTGTGTTTGGAGCCAGACAAGGTGAGTCGTTGTGCTTCCCAAATCTTTGAATTAACAGATGTACACAGACACTGCAGGTGCTTCCCCACCACAATGGGTTTTTTATCCTGCTGACTTCCTTATACCGCTCCAATTGGCTACCTGTTCAGGCTCATACCAGGTTGGTATTTGCATAATGCACACCCACACACACACACACACACACACACACACACAGACATGAAACCCATCCACACTCGCACCTGACATAACTTTTGTATTCCCTGTTTGCACCGTTTCCTCTCGAGCTCACTCGAGCAGAAACTCACGAGGAGACAAATAAACAGGAACGGATCCAAAAACATTCAAAAGCCCACGAAGGGAAAGTTAAATTGCATAAAGTCTCTGCTCACACTGTTGCCTAAAATAGCGTCTAGAAACTTCCTATGTGGCGCAACATTTGTTTGCTTTTTCCATCATGATGAACGAGGTGCTGACAGTCTGGGTAGGACGGCCTGAGAGAATTTGCTCATTTTGCTTTTTTTTTTTGGGTGTTGGTGGAGAAACATTAGCAACCGTGTGCCTAAAATCACCATCAGAAAGTGACTTCATCGGGGTTACACATTTACAAATGCCCCTGACTTTTCCAACCAATGTCTTCTGCGGATTTGCAAACTAAATCCAAACTGCGGGGCTGTTCACTATTTAGCTTGTTTTAGTTTCACTCTCGGCTACGGATGACCTCATCGCGTCGCAATCACATTAAACTTTGATCGGCTCTTAAAATAGCTTCCTCCCATCCTGCAGCGATCCACAGGTGTCTGAGTAAAGACTGACAGATGACAATTAGCTTTGGTTTGCGGCTCACAAATCTCAGCGAGCGTCACACGAGGAAGGCAGAAGCAGAGAATCAAAAGCGGCTTTATTATGTGTGAATTACTTGCCAGCATTCATACGTGCCGAGCTACGTTTCTTGCGAGGTATCGCATATTTCCTGTGACATTCGGAAGATTTGCTGTCTTTGAAGAGGGTGTCAAATAGAACTGTAAATAACATGTTATATTGAGCGAAGACAAAGCAAATGCTGTTCCCCAGAACGGGTAAAATCTTGTTTCTATTTGAGGCAGCCATTGTACACAGCAAGAATGTAAGCCAGTGCCTGTCAAAGTGATTACTTTTCTCAAATTCCTCCAAACATGTTTGTCCTGTTTAGTTGGGTTTCTTTTTTTTTTTTTTTCTCTCCATCAGTCGAATGCAGAGCCCGCATTTCCAAATGAAAACAGATTAAACAGTATCCTCGCAGACGCAAATGTGTCAAAAAAGCAGTTTTTAACTGAACTTTGTCACCCCCTTATATCTGCGGTTGCCCCATCCCGACAGTGATCAGAGCCAGTTCAAACAGTCTATTTTTGCTTGACGCCAATTAGGGGTTTGGGCAAATTGTAAGAACTTTGATCTGAGATCTAAATCTGATCTGTAGCATTGTACCACTACAATACCTCTCGGGACCAGAGGCACTAACAGTATCATGTTGATAATTGAAGTGACTTTGAGCCGGGTTGAACTGTATAATAGGCTGAAGCGTCTGTGAGGAAAAAGTATGTCAGGTTTTTTTTTCCTCGGGAGCTTCTTCGGCAGAGTGGAAGGAAAAACAGGAGGTGACGCCGAACAAATAAACTCCAATTAATCTACTCCTATAATGAGAAATATAATCATAAGAAATCAGTCGTAATATTTAATCGACTCGAGAAAACCTGAATAAAACATGCATTGCGCTATTAAACGGCATATTTTATCATCCCAACAGGCTGACATTAATACCCCATCCTCCATCCATAGATCCTGTGATCAACGTACTCACTTCTGTGTGCTCCTCAGTTCATACCGAGCTCACTGTGGAAGCTCTCACTCTCTCTGACTCTGTGTGTGTGTGTGTGTGTGTGTGTGTGTGTGTGACTTGGACTCTTGCCCACAGCTCAGCCTCAGAGGTAATGAGGGAATTCAGTGTTAGCATGATTATCTCTGAGAGTTCCCCTCATCTCCCCGTGCACGCCGGATCGCTACAGTGCTAATGGTAAAACCCACTCCCCCTGATCTCCCCCACTGCAACTCCCCGACACCGACCGACCCGATAAGTCGCCTCCAGTCCTCCCCGCAGCCAGTCTGCTGCCTATTTGTAACACAGGTGCTATTTTCAGGAGTTTTTTTATTTTTTCTTGTGTGCAGCAGTTTCCCCCCCATCCTCTTTCTAAAGGGTAAAGTGCCTCCAGGGTGTAATTTGGGACCTGGTGCCGTCCCACTGTGAAGGCCTGACCAGATTTTATTGCAGCAAGATTAATACGGCCATCAGCAGTGAACGGAAGTCACACTCTTCTCATTACGGCCAGTGGTTTTGGCCTGCTTCTCACCTTTTTTCTTCTTCTTTTTTGTTCTTTCTCTATCTGACTTTTCATTTGCCATGTCACAGGGAGAACCTAGTATTTGGCATTTCATTTCATGGATCTTCATTCTGCTTTTTTTTTTAGGGTGGATGTGGGTCGACATATGTAAAAGTCCACTGGGGGAATAGCAAAAAAAAAAAGACGGAATGGGAGAGATCAAAGTCTGTCATATCAGCTCCAGTCTGTGTGAGTCAGCCTACCAACATTGTGAGACGCAGCGAAGACATCCTCCCAGACACAAGAAAATGTCATCAAAATGCTGGCATTACAGACAGTGTCAGCTATTTTTAAATAGAGTCAAGTAGAAGCTTATGTCACCCCTCCAATAATAGTACACTACTGATCCATTTATAAAGAGGCTTATAACTTGCTTAGCGGCGCTGTGAAATATTAATGTTTTATTTGAGGATGCGGTCAAAAGTTTCCCTTTGACGGGAAAGGCTGTCAAAGCTGTCAGTCAGGAGAAGCAGACAAGACAGGAGGAGGGTACAGTTGTATGCTCTAATGAACAGGAACTTATTAGCTGGAGTATGTCTATTACTGTCCCACTTGCCTCCCCTCTTTCATTAACTGCTTATCACGCCCGTTAGTGTCATCTTTAATACTTCACATTTTGATTAGCATATGATCCATGGGGAAAGAAGGAAAAATCATTTTATTAGTGTCAATTACTGCTACAAATGACAATTTCACTGCCTAAATTGTAATTTTACGTTTCCTCCCTGTCAAAGAACAATGACTGTGTAATTACAGTAATGAGAAGTGCAACAGGAAAAAAAAAAAAAAAAAATGAATTATTCACAATCCGCCTTTTCTTTCTTGTTCTTTTGAACTCCACCATGTCTATTTGCTTGGCATCTGTCTGGCTGCATTAATGACTCGGCGTGGAGAACACAGGTTCTGCATGTCTCACAAGCGATGTGTTGAAGATGTAAGAGTGCTCGAGCGTGGATCGAATGATGTAAAAATACCTTTTCACCTGCTCGGTGTCCAGGAGCTTTGAATGCACTTGGCACCGTGCAGATCTCTCCTTTGCCCGTAGGTGACACTGTTGTCTCATGCACTCGCTGGGAATCTCTTGAAAATAAGGTTATGTGATGAGTGAACAACACAAGTGTGATATGAGAAAGTGTAGGCAATGAAATATGCTTCCTGACAAGTATTGACCACGACGCCTGTGGACGGCGCTGCTCGTGTGACTTACCGTAACCTACATGCATTATTAGCTCCTGTACGTAGGTGTGGGAGCGATAAACAAGAGAGAAAGAGAGATTAGAGACACGAAGGAAGGGCAGAAAAGAGCTCAAGGGGTGCACGGCCAGTTTGTTGTGACATATAGTGGCTATACAGTAATGTGGGTTTTCCACAGCTAGTGGCAGTCCTTTGTGTTTCAATTAACACCTCAGTGAGACTGACCACCAACACACAGCTCTACCTGGACATCACTGACTGCTATTCTTGACTCAGAGTGATGTTGGTCTGTTATCACATCATGCCCAGTAGTGGAGCCTGTTGATAAAGACAAGAAATATTACAGTTATTAAAACCAGGCTCCTATTGAAATGTATTAACAACCGATTGAACTGAAAGAGGTCGTGCATTGCGACAAAACCACGACTCTCCGTTCCCTCTCAGTTCTATCTGTGTCCGTTTCACAGGTCCTGACTTCACTGCTTCGGTTCCCCACCATCATTTCCAAATGCAGTTTTCAGAAGGAGCTTTAGTAACTCACTACATGCTGCCTGCTCTGACTGAAAAGGCAGACAGACAAAAAGTTGCAACAAGCTGGTGCACATTTTGGACCATTTAGCTGTAAAAGAGTCAGATGTTTCGCTCAAAGGTTGGCAGGAAGAAGGTTGATTATTTTCTGGATGTGTAACTAAAGTGATGTATAATAGGTTAGTGTGGGGTGAAGAAAAAACCAAACAGTGACTGTATCGGTTGCAGTTGGTTGAAACGTGTGGAAAATATGCTATTCGGGATCTGTCTGGGAGTTAGATGGGAAGATTGATACCACTCTCATATCTGTTTGTTTGATAAGAGGATGCAGCCAGCAGGCTATTACCGTGGCAGAAAGACGGGAAACAGTGGGAAACAGATAGCCTGTCAGGGAGCAAAATCAAATCACAATCACCTCCAAAGCTCACTATTTCACACGTGTTTGTCTAAGCAGTGCATAAAGTAGTGTAAAAGTGACACATTGTGATTTTATAGAGGGTTTTATGGGAGCATCAGCTGGTGTTTAGAGCAGAACAGTTCAGAAATGGAAAATAAAACGACATATTTTTAAATACCTTCCCGTCCTGCTATACAGAAAAAAGCATCGCTGCCTTTTTGCCCGAGCACAGGGAACAAAATGCTCCCATACTGTTGCATGTTTTTTATAGCTAATTAATATATATCTGTATTCAGAAGTGACTGATGACTACTTGCGCTCGTCCTCATTTAGCTTTTCATTGTTGGGTCTTAAGCTGCCATCGCTTAAGCGGTTTAATTGGAAATATGGAGTCCTAAACCATTTAGTATCTCGCTAAAATCAAAGCTAATATGTCAAACGACTCTACACCTTGACAGCTTGACACAATAATTATTTTTGCATAAGTGATTATCCCGAGATCGCCGAGCATTCATCGCTAACACAATAAAGCTAT